GATATAGGATTAAACAGACCCACCTACTTTACTACATGTGTAAATAGAGTTCTAACACATCACTTGACTTTTGTAAGCTTGTTTCTTTGCCTGATTATCGCTGAATAACATAATGAAAATGCCTAGCATAGTCAAAGAAGATACTCAACAGGACTATTCTGTCTCACTCCTTACAGAGCTCACCAACAAATCCTATCAATCTTTCCTTCATATTAAACCTTTAAATTTTCCTCCTCTTTCCAATTTTCCTATCAAATTACCAAGTTCCTGGATTCCTGAGAAAGGCTTAATAATCTGACCTCTTCTATTATCTTCTGCTTTTCATAACTTTCCATAATCTTATTTACTTATTAAGCATATTTACTTTTCTCATATAGTCATCTTATTAAGAATACAGCTCCAAAACTCACATGAACAACTTCCATTGCATAATATACAGACAAATTAGATCTTGTTTCCCATTACTACCCATCATGAGGCTAGTTACTATGTGACTGTGGTCAAGTTATGTACTTATCCTCTCATGTGTTGGTTTCTCTGTCAGTTCTATCTCAGAGTAAAGATTAAGCAAGAATAGACTAAGAACAGTGCCAGGCATGTACTATTTTCTCAGTTTGAGGCAGAGTTATGCATAGCTAATGAAGCTTAACCTTCAATGTCTCTCACAGGTCAGATCCTATCCAAAGTGACAGATGAGGCCCCAGCAATTGTGTCTCTATAATTTTGTATTATTTTTCTTATAGAGGAACCAACAGATTATATAAGGTTTAGGACTATTTAGTTAGCAGATGTTAGCTGCTTTTATTACACCTGGAAGGCAGGTTTCTGCTTTGTTCTCATAATGTTTATTTCCTCCCTTTCCCTTTTTAAACAGACAAGATAATATGCTAGACCTGCAGAATAATCAGGAATCCTGTCACCAACAGTCTAGCAAGCATAAATTCAGAAGAAAATATATTTAGTGTAAGAAATCAGTAGCCAGGCATGAGGTACACACCTGTAAATCCAGCAACTGAAATAGAAAGATTCCAGGCTGAATCAGGAGGATCACAAATTCAGTAAATTCAGGAAAACCTAGGCAGTTTGGCAAGACCCTATCTCAAATTAAAAAGTAAAAAGGGCCGTGGATGTGGCAGAGTGTTCTTGGGTTCAATCACTAGTACTAGGTGAGTTGGGTGGGGGTGTCAAAATCAAGTTTCAGTCAAAATGCTATGGGAGCTGGCCCAGGTGGTGCATGCCTATAATCTCAGTGACTTGGGAAGGTGAAGCAGGAGGATGGAAAGTTGGAGGCCAGTCTCAGCAACTTAACAAGACCATGTTCTCAAAATAAAAAATAAAAAAGACCTGAAATGTAGCTCAGTGGTAAAGTACCCCTAGGTTCCATCCCACCTCCCCTTCCCAAATTGCTAGGGGATTTGAAGGAAAGGGGATCTTAAATAAATAACTGGTGAAGTAAGAAAAAGCTTTATGGAAAGGACAATATTTGAGATGGACTCAAAAGAACTGCAGCCAAGAGGTATGTGGAGAAGTAAGAAAAACCATAAAGGATGAAGGAAACTCAGAACAGTTTGATAATAATTTATTTTATCCAGGCTTAGTTGCTTTTAAGTCCTACAAAGGCAAAAGTCTTTTCCCAACCATGATCCACCCTGATATTTGTAATTACCACACAGAATTATTGTGTATCCATTATTTCGGGAACTTAACTCTCTTGAGAAGTGATTCTAAAAGAATGTATGCTTTGTAGATATTTCATGTATTTCAGATTATCATATAGAAGAAAAAAACTGGACTGGCAGATTTTTAATATAAATTATACACACACATCCATTCCAGATCCACTCCATAACAGGGGAGAAAAAAAAAACAAACTAGTTTTTAAAAACTAGTTAAAAAACCTATTTATAGTCTCAATTCAAAGAATAGATACTAAGATCTAACTCTTGTTTAAATTATCAGGTAAGCACAAAGGATTTGAAATATATAACATGTACTTTAAACTTAAAAACATGTAACATTCCTGGTATATGTATTTAACATAAAACAATCTTGATGGAGCTCAGTGGAGTGCTTGCCTAGTTAGCATGTGCAAAGCTCTAGAATGCCAAACAAAACATCAAGAATTAAAAACTTAGAGAAAACAAGCCTGGCTGGTGGCTCAGGCCTGAAATCCCAGTGACTTAGGAGGCTGAGACAGTAGGATCACAAGTTCAAAGCCTGCTTCAGCAAAAGCAAGGTGCTAAGCAACTCAGTCAGACCCTGTCTCTAAATAAAATACAAAATAGGCCTGGGGATGTGGCTCAGTGGTTGAATGCCCCCCGAGTTCAATCCTGGTAACCAAAAAAAAAAAAAACCCCAAAAAAGAAAAAACAAAAAACTTACAGAAAAATTTACATATAACCATAAATTGTTAAATTTCAGGGAAATTTCCTTCTTAGCTGTTAACAAGAATAATACCAATAACTTTATTCCTGTTGATTCTATATATGCAGCCACAAACTCGAAGTTATTTCCCTTCTGCAGTAGTCAAATAGTGTATTTCTACACATTTAAAACACCAAAGAGATAGTCTTCCATTTTTTGATCTACAGTATACTTACTACCTTATCGTGCATACAGTGAATACTTAGAGCACATGACTTTTTTCCATCAGCCACTCTGCTCCCCAAACTTTCCCCAAGTGATTATCAATAGGTCAGAAGTACAGCATGAAAAAAAAAAGTACAGTGTGTTTTATAAAGCACTTAATATCACAATACTAATGTGGCAGTTCACTTCTCATATAAGTGAAAAGTGATGAAACTGAGAATTGCTAAGAAGCAAAGAATTCATTTCATAACTACCTTCATATGACAATGTATACATACTGCACAGTGTGTTCAATACAGATGACTAAATTATAGGATTTTTTAATTTGAAGAAACCCTGGAGATCTTCACTTAATTGAAAACATCCCAGTGAAATTCCAAGAGCAATCCCAGTATCAACTGACACGCCATAATTTTTCTGCTATACAAATAAAAGCTAACACTTGTAAGCCGTACATCTGACAAACTCATGCCTTTCCTAGGTCTTTATTATTAGCCTTCTAAAGACATTATAAAGGCCTAATATAAAACAAGTCCACAAATGATGTCCAAATGATTCGAATATAAATACTGGAAGCAGAGTGATTTCTTAATAGCCAAGGTTGCACATGACATGGTATCTTATGACCAGCTTGTTGAAGGACTGGCCCCAGCTCCCACTCTCCAAGTTAACTGCTAGCTCCAGCCTTTTCTAAAAGTTTAACAGAAAGGGAAGTCAAAAAGACTATGCAAGTACCCATAACAAAACTTAAAAAGAAAAAAGTACTATCAAAAGATCACCCACCTTCGGCCTTATAATAAGTGACTATTTCCCTTGCTAAAATCTTGAAAAGGAACTTTTCAAAATACATAAAAACTAAGATATCTTTTCCTTACCCTGGAAACATTACTGCAAAAATATTTTATTATTAAATAATTTTCTTCCTGGACTAAAAATCGGTCTCTGACAAGTTCCAAATAATATTTCTTATACTCATCACGTGCTAATTCAATAGCTCTTTTCTGAACTAGAGTAAGGGGTAAGGGGGAAAGTATAAAAGTGCTCCACAATCACATCTCTCCCTGCATTTAAGATTACTACCACCTAATAGTTTACCATCTTAGATTTCAGGACTATAAAAGGAGTCAATTGGGCTTGTCAAAAGCCATGTCAACGAGCCCCCAACCCTATTCGGCCGTGCACCCCCAGACTAATCTCCTTTGAAAGGTCCGATGTGAACCGCCCCCACGCCCACTAGTACGGACGCCACCGTTGCCCAACCCAGATTCCTAAACCCCGGACAGCTGCCTCCCCGGTCCCAAGTCACGGTACACATCTCGCTTCCTAAACTAGATCCCAGCTTAATATATGCTTTCTCTGGTCCTCGGCAGCTACTGACAAGCCCCTGGACAGGCGAAGAAGACCTCTCTCCACATTCCACCCTTAGCCCAGGCACTCCTGCGGCACTACACAGCCCCGCACCCGGCACATTCCGCAGCCCCCGCCCCGGGACAGTCCATGGTGTCTCCTGCCCAGCCCCACCCCACACACTCAGAGGCTCGGCTCTCTTAGCCTCGCAGCAGGTGAGGTCTGGGCAGCTGGCCCTAGAACCCGAGAGTTGCTCACCTTGCTGAGAACCCCGCAGCGCTCCACAGGCGGCCCGGACTCCGTCTCCGGGTCCTCCTCCGATCCCGAAGAGTTCCAGCTCTGGTTATCCGACATGGAGGCGCGACAGCCAAGCAGGAGACCGGCCCCCGCTCCGCGAGCTGCGCCGGAGGAGGCGCCCAGTCCCGGGGTTGAAGGGTCGGGGGATGCCGAAGCGAAGAGTGCGGGTGGGGAAAGGAGATGGGACGAAGTCCACCAGCCTCCACGACGCCGTAGCCGCCGCGCCTGACACCGAGCGGACCGGGGAAGGAGGACGAGCGGCGAAGGAAGCCTGCCCTTCCAGCCGTCAGCCGCCGCCGCCACCGTTGCTGTGACCCCTGCGCTACGCCGGGCGCCGCTACCCGAACTAGTCCCTCTTGATGCCAACCTCAGTCAGGGAAGGAAAAGGAGAGGAAGAAGGGAAGAGAAAATCCAGCTGCAGAGACCGGTACACTCACACCTCCGCTACCGCCGCCATCTTCCTGCCTGGCCCACTATTTACCCTCCCCTCCCCTCACCACTCCCCTCCCCTCCGTCCTCCCATTCTCCCCCTACAGCCCGCCCCGTACCCCTCCCGACGTCTGACGCCACACGCCAAGGGCTTGAGATTCCCCCACCGAAGCGTCCTACCTCCGGCCTTCGCGGGTGACTATGGGTAGAAAGGTAGGAGGGGCAGAGAGTGGAGAGGGCGGAATAGGGTCACCGCCGAGCTGCATTCTGGGAAGGGTGCTGCTTGTACTGTCGCGCAGCCTCCTGGGAGTTGTAGTCACGATCCTAGTCAAGTGGTGAGTGTCCTGCGCGGGGAAGGCTTGTCGCCTTGGGAACCGTCAAAAGGCAGATGCGCTTCGTTTGACAGTAGCGTGGCTGACCCCCTGACCTCGCTTCTCTGTCCCTACCTAACGTGTTTATGACGAACCCTGCGGTCTTGCGGGTCAGGAGGTGAGATAACTCTCCGGTAAGGATGTCGGGGTTACCTTCTATGGCGGCTTAGGGGCAAGCCCAGGAACCTACTGAGGCTTGCCTGGGCAGGAATGTACCGGACGCTTCCGCCTTCTAGCATGGGCTAGCAGGGCGGGATTTGTGACCTCTCTAGTGACAGGGATTCCTCTCCACATCCACTCAGCTCACTTCCCCGCCTCGTCTAAAGAAAACAACCATCACTATTAAAATCTCGATCTTCGATCTTGCCCTTTGTAAGTTAGACGTTTCCCGCCGTTAGAAGAAGAATTTCTTCATTCCCTCTCACAAATAATTGTGAGGTTTCTTTGCACGGTTAGATTTCTAGAATTTTATTTTGTAGGAAGTAATTTTGAGATTGTCAGAGAATAAATGACATTGGAAGAATTTTAAGTAAAATTAAAACTTCAAGCAATAGTCTGGAGTTTGCTCTTAATTGAAAATGATTATCTTTCTGAGACCTATATGAACCATCTTTACTTATTTCCGCTCCCTGAAAGGTAGGTAAGGTCGTAGTAGAAATTTTCTAGTATAAGAAAGACCAAAGTGGTATTGTTTTATTGAATAATAAGGGATTAGGCAATAGAGGGGTATGAATTTAATGCTGGAATTGGTGATAAGAGGAATTGAAGATCTAACATCATGTACATTATAAGTTAACTTTTACTGTGAGATCTTTAACTTCATAGCTACAGTTCTTTCCTCTAGTTAACTACTTTTATATCATATTGATTTCCACATAATTGCCAATAAAAAAATTCTTATAAACCATGGGTTTTAATTTTCTCTCCACAGTGGATGGGAAGATAAGGGTAAATTTTGAGTTTGAGGGAAAAGACCCAGTGGCTGAAAATGACTCTTGTAGTAGTGGAGACAAGACAAGTTCACTGGGATCTTCAGAAAAAAATGGAATGATGGGAAATGTCTGTGAGAAGTACCTGTGATATCTTTTCATATCTCCAGAGTGACTCTTCTAGATGCTAAATTTTCAGTAAATCAGCTATAAATTGTTTTCCCATTATGAAATCATGATAATGTGTAATTGAAAGCCATTCAAATGAATTAAGCCATAAGAGGTAAAGCTTTTGAAAATACTTTGTCAACATGCTAAAACATAATCCCAAGGTTGTCATTAAAAAAGGAGAAAACTCCATTAGCACATTTTCTGTCTTTATTGAATTACAAAAAGTATATGTTTATAATGCTGAATTAAGTTTTGCTTTGCCTTGTGATTGCCAAATTATGGTGATATTTCCAATTTCTGAATTTTTAAGCCTTCAATTTTAAGATCATTACTCTTAAGTAAATGTGAATTGAGAAATTCATAAAACAATTTAGAATTATGGGAGCATAGTATATGTTTGCTTTTAAATTGAGTTTTATCTTGTATTTTATACCTTTCTAACTTGTGTGTGATTGTAATCACCAGCTCTTGGGTCACTAAGGTACCTACTAAGTGTGAAATCGCATTATTTTATTTACTATTAATGTGAGAGAAATTATCTTTAAAAAAAGTTTTTGCTGCATTGTTCCTTTTACTTTTAGGATTAAAATATTTTTAAATACAGGAAAAATTTTGTGTCATTAGAATGTCACATGAGGGGTTGAGGTTTACTTCATTACTGTTAGTGGAAATAAATCAAAAAGCAAGAATAAAATAGGTGAGTTTTCTTTATTCATTGATCAGAATAACTTTTAAGTTTTCTGCCTTAGGACTTTCCCCAACCCTCTTATTAATATCCTAAATTTTCTTTTTACTAAGTTAATTTAGAACTTAAATTCACCTGGAATTTATTTTAGTATATGAAATGAGGTAGGAAATTAGTTTTTAAAGATGTATTTGTCCCAACACTTTGTTGAACAATCTGTTGTTATGAAATGAAGAATCTCTTTATCTGGACCTGTTTCTGGACTCCTTTCTTTTTCATTGATCTATTTATCTCTACCTATGTTAATGTCATACTAATTTAATTATTTGTTAACTTTATATTATTTTCATATATATAGTAGCAAAATTCCCCTGATTTTCTTTTTTTTATATATTTATTTTTTAGTTGTAGTTGGACACAATACCTTTATTTCACTTATTTATTTTTATGTGGTGCTGAGGATCGAACTCAGGGTCTCATACGTGCGAGGCGAGCGCTCTACTACTGAGTCACAACCCCAGCCCTTCTTTTTTATTTATATATTTTTTCTATCTTCCAGACAAATTTTAGATTAGTTTGTCAAATTGCATGAAAAATTGTGTTGAGATTTGGATTGAGAATGCACTTTTTTTTTTTTTTTTAGGAATAAATGACCTTCAATATTATTTGCATTGGCTAGATACTTTAAATATGTGATATGACTTATTCCTTAAAAATCATATAAGGTGGAGTAGAGTTGTAGCTCAGTGGTAGAGCATTTGCCTAACATGTGTGAGGCACTGAGTTCGATTCTCAGCACCACATATAAATAAATAAAATAAAGGTCCATTGACAACTAGAAAAAAAAAACATATAAGGCGATGTGTTAGCTTTCTATCACTGCAATAAAATACCTGAGAGAACCAACATATATAACCAACATAAATGAGGCAGTGTTTATTTTGGCTCACAGTTTCAAAGGATTCCTCCTTTATGTTGATTGTTTGGCCCTATTGCTTTAGGCATGTGTACAGAGTCCTTGGTGGAGCTCTGTTCACTTCAGGGTATCTATAAAGCAAAGAGAGAGGGGGAGGGGCCAGGGTCCCAACATCCCCTTCAAGGACACTACCCACTGACCTAACTTCATTCCACTGAGTCCCACCTCCTTGTGATTCCACTACCTCCTAATAGCTCCAGATGCTGGCAACTAAGTCTGGCATATAGGCCTTTGGGGGACAACTAAGATCAAAACCATAATAGGTAAGGTTTGTTGGTCCCATTTTGAGGATGAAACCAAAGCTCAGAGAGGCTAAGTAACTTAGTATCACATGGCTTCTAAGTGGCAGAATTAAGATTTGAACTCAAGTCAAACTGATTTAAAAGATCATACATACTAGGTTGGGGATATAGCTCATTGGTAGAGTTCTTGCCTAGCATGCATAAGGCTCTGGGTTCAATTGCCAGCACCATTAAAAAAAAAATCATACATACCCTTTTCTGTGCTTCAGAATACCTCTAAAAGTGGGAGAAATTGTGTAAATAAGTAATGCATTCTGTAGATAAGTGCACCCTAGCAATGATGGTCTTAATTCAGCTAATGTTTTTAAAATCTTTCATTTGCCTTGCCCTTAAAATTTTGCTGTCTCTTCTAACTCCAACATCAATTCTGTAGAATTTATTATTTCTATTCTATTTCTAATATTTCAGATGACTAAACCAAATTATAGGAAAATTAAATAGTTAGGCAAGTATTTTACCACTGAGCTACATACAGCCCAGCCCTATGCCTATTTTTAGTCTATACTTCAATCTGTTTTTCCACCTCAGTATCCCAAGAAACCCCTAATCCTACTTCCATTTTTCTGTCCTTTATCTTGGTCTCAAATCTAGACTTCTTTTTTGGTAGTACTGGGGATTGAACACTCTAGCCAAGTGCTAAGCTACATCTCCAGCTGTTTTTTAAAATTTTATTTTGCAATTTGAAATTGCCCAAGCTGGCTTTGAATTTGTAATCTTCCTGCCTCTTCCTTGAAGTAGCTGGGGTCATAGCCTTGTTCCACCATATCTGGCTTGATGTCCTTTTTCCATATCTCACTATTATATTTTTATCTTCAACTAAGGGCAATTGATTATGATTTGGAATGGTTAATAGTAACTTTAAGCCAGGTTATCACTTTTATTGAGATGAATATTTAAGTAGGTACTGCCAGTGTTTACCTTGCTTACTTTTTCTTTTTATTTGGGATCATCCATATTCCTTTTAAATTAATGGATTCTTTTATTAATATGAATTATTTCTCTGTTATGCTGTACTTCCTTGCCTTATTCTATTACTTTGTTCCTAAAGGTGACTTTAGGTATCTGTCTTAGACTACTTTATGTGTTAATTTTTATTACTTAACTCAACAAGGACAGCATTATTTTGGGAGTGGGAGGGAAGAGGCGGATGTGATATTCATTGATAACTTAATACACTGGGTATAGTAACTTAGGGATATGTCATATCCATAGAAAGTTCTAACATTCAAGTGTATTAGACAGTGATTTCAGAAGTGGAATTTCAAAGGACTTGTGGATTACCCTTTTATCCTTTTTCACAAAAGAGAGCCATGCCAGGCATATTTCAAACAAATATTCTTTCTTATGGTTGAATAAAATTGAAACTTTTTTATTATATATGTTCAGTTTTTTAAAATAAAATTTGTTGGGGGAAGTTGAGTATTTCATAAATTTTTTTTTTACTTTATTTATTTTTATGTGGTACTAAGAAACAAACCAGGTGCTTCACATGTGCTAGGCAAGTGCTATTCCACTGAGCCACAACCCCAGCCCAATAGTTCATAGATTTCACTAGAACTATAAAAATTCCTTCAATCTAAAAAGTATACGTTGTACATTAATAATACTTGAACAACCATATTAGTGTTACTCTTAGCACATACACATTTCTTGCTTTTATTTATTTTTGGTCACACTTTTGATTCTTTATATTTGAACTTCTTTTCCTGTGTGGAGAAATTCCTTTGTTGATCAGTATTTTAAAGTTATGCCATATAAAGCAGTGTGATATTTTTAGCTAGAATCCACATGATACTTATTTTGTAAAGATGTTTTGCTTTTTGTCCCTAGTCCATTCATTGTTTCACTTTTATTATAATTTCAAATCCTCTTATTCTTAGACAAGCTTAAAAACATTTTAAAAATATTTTTTTAGTGGTAGGTGGCTGTATTTTATTTGTTTATTTTTATGTGGTGCCGGAATTGATCCAGTGCCTCATATATGCTAGGCAAGCGCTCTACCACTGAGCCATAGTCACCCCTTAAAAAGATTTTTGTGGAACATAAATGTTACTATGGTGATACAATTTAT